ACTCACACACACACACACACACACACACACACACACACACACACTCAAACTCAGTGTGTCTGAATGGCAGCTGGCCCTGCGGCTCTCTTGGTTAGTTCCCCTGATAGAGAGTTGGAGACAGACTGGACTGGTGCAGTAGTGCTTATTAGCCGTGTCTGTCTGCAGGAGCCCTACTGAGCCAGCCTTGAACCCTCCGGCCCCCAGCATAGAAAGAGGGAGAGACAGAGAAGAGAGGGGGAGAGGGAGGTTAAAGCAGTGGAGGACAAAAGTGAGAGCGTGACAGCCAGGAAAAGAGACCTGCCTGTCTGACCTGCATGTCCACTTAAGCTAGTTGCCACCTAACCCGATAGAAGGTAGTCACAGAATCATTACTTTGAAGAAGAAAGTGATCCGTTTCATTCATTCAATGATCTTGGAAGCCTGTACAGATTGCAAAAGCATGTCCATCTGATGCATATTTATGCTAATTAAAAAATAGAAAAGTCTTGCTCCATCTGCCCTCTCCGATTTCAAGTACTCTTCTGTTTTATCTGTCAAGTACTCGAGCATTCAAAATGACCAAAGTGCACATTGCTATTACAGAGCAGGCTTACGTAGTTGACATTGTGTTTATTTTTTTCCAGGGAGAGACCGTGACGTTGTCTGCCTGACTAACCTCAGATATTGCAGTGTGTAGAGGTGCTGAGGCTGCTAAAGTTTAACTGCGCTACAAGATTAGGGTCTGTGGACAGATGTGTCGAGCCCATCAGGTTCAGCGACGGGTTATAAACTGCCCTGACCCGCCTTTGCTTTGTTTTTATGCGTGCATCTCATGAACTATCAGGTTCAGCTGTCCTGTAGAGCTCACCTTTATTGCTGCTAATGGTTTCGGTACTGCTGATGCAGTCGGAGTCTCCCTTACCTTGACGTGTCGTTCCCTTTAGTCCACTGTTAAACATCTAACACACACCTGCAATCAACCCTGATCATCCCAGTGGAAACGGCCTGTTATTGCCCTCATTAGATGTTATACGGTAGTTCTTTCACAAAAATTCATCACATATTAACATAGATTGTGTGTTTGCTTAGCATTTTCATCTAATCTCCTCTCTCGTGAGTGTTTCTCTCACGGTAGGCTCGTTCCACACCAGACCAGCTCATGCAAAGATCCCAAAGCTTTTAAATCACAGCCATCTGTCAATACAATTTAATCAAATGATTTCAAAACCTGTGCAATTTTAGTGTCTTAAGCCAAGTGGCTGGCTGAGCTCCAGCTGGAACGCGCCGAGCATTAAGGCATGATGTGCGTTCAAGCCGCCTCCTGCTGATTCATCCCTCACATGCTGAAAAATTACCTTTTGCTCATTAAAGAATTGAGGAAGTTTAAAAGAAATTATTTGCATAATTTATTTCCCCCTGAGGAACAGGATGATTAATTAATTACTATGCTATTAAACTGGATCGCTCCTTTTTTTATATATATTTTTTTTAATTAACCTCAGGACATCCATCGTGTATGGGACTTTTTTTTGTCACATCAGTTTTAGTGCATTCGGACATGTGTGGGAATCTCAAAAAGTTAAGTAAAAATCTCTGTGAAGTTAAAAATAGTTGAGTCAGGGGTTTTTATTATTGAGTTTAGGAGTCTCAATATTCTGCAGTTGTCCTAATCGGCCCGCATTTTTGTATTTTTATTTCTTTATTTTTTTTAGGCTGTCGTCTGCAGCAAGATGAATCTCTTTAATATATTTCTCTGGCCCGGTTGCTTTGCATAGTGCAGAAAAGATGACGCAGGCTTTGGGTTATAATACCCCAGTGTTTTATTCATATTCTCTTATTTGCAGGGACCCTACATGCTCGCGAATGCTACGCCGCCGTCTGACAGCGCGCTATAGGCTGCATGTAAATGAGGGTTTTAGGTACTATTGTAGTGTAATATCATGCGGGAGTCTCATTAACCTATAAACAACCTAAACACTTCTCTGTCTCCCTTTCCTCCTACAGAACTCAATACGGCACAATCTCTCGTTGAACAAGTGTTTTCTCAAAGTGCCTCGCTCCAAAGATGACCCGGGAAAGGTAAGCGTTCTCTTTTTCCTCCATATGTAGTGCTGTTTTATTCAGAAATGCAGGTTTTGTACATTCGTTAAATACAAAATGCTGCTTCCAGAGCAGATTCGGCCGTTAAAAAATGCATATGTACCCTTGTGAAAATAGATGAGAGCGAGCACTCGCAGTAATGTTTTAAAAGCACTCTCCGGAGCTCTCTCAGGGAGAGGAGAATGCACTTCAGCCTGGCACTTACTGCACGAGAGGGGGGAAGACCACCACCTGCTTCCCCTCAGTCGGCATACTGCTAGCCTGGCCCGTCGGAGCTAAAACAACCCAAACTGATTCACGTGTAGGCCAGAGTGCAAGCGATATAGATCGCAAAATAAGCGTGCACGTCTGATAACATGCGTTTCATCAATACAGCATCGATGGACCCATCGGTTAACCTGTTTTTTTTTTTCTCCATATAGTACCGCCGCCACGAAACGCACACACTCACTTCTCTGTATCCTCAGCCATCTTGTGCGAGCGCATTCACGCACATACGCTCACAGCGCGACATAAAAAGAAGAGCCGAGGCATGCAGGGAATGGGGACTGAATGCTAATTTCATGTTTTGCTGTAATCCTCTGATATTGACACTCCTGGGATGTGCTCCACTAAATACAAAATAATCTATCGCTGGATGGATTCTATTCCGAATGCATGGCCAACATGCTTGCATCCCTAATGTTCAATTTGGAATTTGCCTCCTTCCACACAGCCCTCCCCCCTGGAAGGAGAACTTCAAAGCTGCGCGGGGCTCTCTTGATATGTTCCATCAATATTGTAATACGGCAGGAATATGGACCCTGCTGTTTGTTCGAGATAGTAACTGAGGCGTGTTTCTCAGAGATGGCAAAAACGATTGTTCACTTCACCTTTGTGATCCGCAGAAGCTGCTGAGAGTGAGGAAGGCCGAACTTTGGGGCAGATACCAATCACGTTTGCCCTTGAGTAGACTTCTGGTCAAAAAGATCTAGCCTGCTTTGAGACTCTCTTACTCATTATTTCCACTAGAATTCCGATTTTTATGTTGGTTACCATTAAACCATTGCAAAACAGCACATACGTATATTTATATATTTGTATTTTTGAAAGAAGTCTCTTATGCTCACAAAGGCTGCATTAATTTGATCAACAGTAATCTTGTGAAATATTACAATTTAAATAAACTATTTTCTATTTTAATATATTTTTAAAATATATTAAAGCAGACATTATTCCAGACATCGTCACATGATCCTTCACTCTTTACTGTCATCTTTACTGATGATCAATTTAATGCAAATCCATCCCTAAACTTTGAACAATAGTATATAATATATTTATATTGTTCTCGTTTGTAAGTTGCTTACAAAATTAAATGTTATAAATTTACTTTACTACTTCATTTTGAAAAATATTCATTTTTAGGTGAACTATCCTTTAATACTTGATTTGGGATGGACATTGTAAAGGGAGGTGTGTTAATGTTCTTTAGCTTATTGCATTAATGGCTGTTAATTTTGGGGTTCAGCCGAATTTATAATCTAAAGAAGTAACCCAATACAATCTTATTGTATTGCCCTATATTTCAGATTCATGTAAACTCTTTTCATGGATTTCTTTAAACGTTGCTTTCTCTCTAGGGATTGTGTTGCAGCCTACAGATACTCCCCTCCCAAGGGTTTTCAGTTTTTCAAGATTTTTCAGCTAATTAAAAGGAAAGCTACTCAGCCTCCCCTTCCACAGTGAAAGTGTCTTGCAGTAGTTTTAATTTAAATTACATTTGCTAAGTGTAACAGACTGCTAGCATTCTCAGTCACCTTCAGCTGTCCTTCATTGTCACTGCATCAATTACAGGAACATGATCATTTAAATTGAAATAAAGAACACGAGGGTGTTTAATACAGTGAGATTGTCCTGCATGTTATGAACTCTGCTGGTCTAATGCTGGAATATAATGCATAAATGGCAATGCAGGGTGAAGATCATGTTACTCTATTTGTTAAACTATTTGTTGGAGAGTAGCTGTACGTACTTATCTAGTCTGTTTATTGTGTGGGAGCACTCACTACCTGTAGTATTTAACATTGTTAGGCTACTCATGCTACATTAGAATTTATAAAGAAACTTATGACCCTTTCACATGTGCGCACCTCTCAACTCAAGTGCTATGCGCTTAGTTAATTTGCATAGAATAGATCATGTGTACAATAGGGCTGTCAAAATGGCTGAAAAACTAAATTCGAATTTTGTACTTAAATATTATCAAAATTCGAATTATATTCGAATTTAAAATGCATAATTTCAGTTAGGGTGAAGAAAAGCTTTTGGCTTCTCTCCTGAGGCCACAAGAGGGCGCATCATTCAAAGCATAAGATAACATGACTATCTGCGAAAAAAAAGTGCATAATGTTTAAAATAATGTTTATAAACCAGTTATAATTAAGTTGCTTAAACAACTATAAACAAAACAGCATCATGTATGTATGCATTGTTTAATACAAAGGGCGGAAAGCCAATCACACAGAGTAAATTTTTTCATTTAAAGACATGAGACACAGTGGGATGGGGAAAAACCCGCCATAAAGTCTCGATATAGGTTTTTTTCAAAGTTAAACTTGCATAAATTTTACATGGCTTTCTAAACATGCCGTAATTATGGTCTTGCTCGCGAGAACTCCCGTCTGACGCACGCTGGTTCTCGCGTTATTTCCTTATCACTTCTCGCGTGTGTTTTGTTGTGAAACGTAGTTTGCGGACCAGACAGATCAGTCGGCGATTCTTCCTATTGTGAAGTCATGCAGTGGGAAACCCCCTGTCGCCGATCCATCGTGCAATGTGAACACAGCAGCAACTGAATGCTACCCCAGATAGTCACGCAGTGTGAAAACAACGGCGATCCGACGAGTTTGAAAATCGTGCAATGTGAACTCGGCATAACGCACACCTTAAATTCGAATGCAACGTTTTTGCATTCAAATGTGGATTTTTATTTTAAATTCGACGAATATTCGAAATTCTAAAAAAAATTGACAGCCCTAGTGTACAATATGATGATTTATTCTCTGAATGTCATGATATGCTTTTGACATGCAGCACATGTCGCAACACTCTCTTAATGATACGTCGTGTATATTCCCGGGTAATCCGTGGCAAGTTAAAACTGTTACAATTTTAAGCATCACGTTACAGTGTTTGATCTGAGTGCAGCATGGCATTGTGGGTAATGCTGTAGCTTGATGCTTCACTCTATAGAGATCAGTGCATTAGGGAACATTAATTACATAAATACATTCATTGTTTAATTTAGTATGAGGATTTACATGTGTGTGTATATGATTATATTTATTAAAAAATAATTATTTTACACATTATTATAATTGTAAAATTAGATGAGTAGGGCTGGGTATCGAGTTCGATACTTTTTAGGCACCGACCGAATTGCCTCGATACAGCCCTATAGATGAGGCTCTTATTAAAAGTTATGATGATTAAATAATGACTATAATGACTAACTGGTTGAATTCTACAAAGTAATAAGCATTCATAAATGTTAAAATTTGAATGCCTAGTTTACCATTTGATTAATGTTAATTATGTCACATCCTTTCTTCAGGCTCAGTGCTTCCAAGGCCAAAAAATGGCATATTAAAGCAAGGCGTAATGCTGTGAACTTTGCAATTGGTTAGATTATTTTGGAGCTGTCATCACACTTGGTTAACAAATGGCTGTAACAGTATTAAAACAGGGATAATGAGTTCTTTTCTTAAAGGGGTCATATGATGCGATTTCAAGTTTTCCTTTCTCTTTGGAGTTAGGCTGCAAAAAACCGTTTGGGTACTGGAGCTTTGCTCATTGCATTTCCGTGGCTAGTAACCTGTGCTGTATTGCTGTTTAAATTCAGAAATTTACATCATTTTATCAATATGTCTTCGGAGGCCAAACGTTTGAGGTTCCTGAAGTGTTCTGTCTAGACAAATCCTTTGGCGATTTTCAATTATTCTCCTTGCTTAGGTGCAACGCACAAACTGTGCACAAGTAATTTTAAAGGTCTTGATCGCACCCTCTCTGGACAATTGAGATCTTATCCCATATAATATGAAATATTTTAAAATAAAACCCAAGCCTGGAGGTTAATTTCTTTTTGTCTAACTTCGTGGCCAGAGTTGCCTTTAGCTTCTGGGAAGAGCAGCACTATTGAAAAATAAATTAAACCGGAAGAATGCAAAGATAAATTATTCAGCCAGGGTCTTGGGTGCTTGGATACCAGCAGCCCCAAACCAAGGTGTGCTATTTTCTGCCTGATTATCAGAGCTCAGACCTGACCAGAAATCCAACACCTCTGTGTCCAGCCCTGAACAGGAGCAATCGATAAACCTGCAGCTGAGGAAGAGGGGCTTCAGGAGGGGCTTAACATTTTACCAGATTCTGCCAGGGCTCAGGAGAAATGCGAAGCGAGAGCGTGCAAGAAACGGCTGTAGCAAAAGACCCAACTTCTTCTCACCTCGACATATAGCTCCGTGAATGTCCTCCCGACGTGACGGGCTTACAAATGAGCTCGCTGAAACTTTGATGAACTAAAAGTTGTACGTGTTTGATGGCGAATGCGCCCAGTATCTGATACTGAACAGAAACAGAAGTTTCTCTCTTGGAAACCCTGCTGATTTTTGTGCTCTGCTTTTTATCAAAGTTTTATTGAATGGCTTTAAGCTGACCACTATTTTAGAATATGATGACTTGCTTAGGGACTAATATTCGTTCTCATCCTGTTTAAGGGTTCGTACTGGGCAATCGACACAAATCCAAAGGAGGACACGCTGCCCACACGACCTAAGAAGAGGCCACGGTCTGGAGAGCGGGTGAGTGAAAGTTTGTATGTGTGTTTTGTGTGCACGTGTGTGTGTGTGCGTACATTTGTGTTTATGTGTGTGCTCCGAGACCCCCTGGTGGTCGGTTTTCAGACATCCAGACTTTCTCAGGCCAAACTCAGCTCATTACTTCAAATCTGGGAGTGATCAAAAAGCAGAAAACAGTGAGTGTCTCACTCTCCCAGTTCAAGCTCAATGTCACTGATTTGCTCCATCACTTCTCTTTATGCTGTGGTTGCTTGAACACCACAGATTACTGTTCAGTCGCTACTGTGATTATGATAGTATTTCCAGCACAGTAATGTTATGGTCCCCATTGTCCACAATAATATTCAAAGGCCCCATAACTTTTCCCGTTGTTTGTGATTTACTGAAATTTTTTTTTTTTTTTTTTACAATTTTCGACCAATAAATATATTTAAGAGCTTTGCATAACTAGAAAAATCTATACAAAAATGCCTGAAAAATCAATATAAAAATGTATTTTTCAGGTCTAGAGAAAGGCTACATATATCAAGGTTTTTCAAAGAAAAAAACAGTTGTTGAAGGGTTGAATTACAAGAAATGTCTTGATTTTAAGTTGATTTAAGTTTTTGTTTTCTCTTATTTAAAAAAAAATTAAGGAATAGTTCACCCAAAAAAGAACATTTACTGAAAACTTACTCAGCCTTGGGCAATCCAAATGGGTTTATTTCTTCATCTGAACAGATTTGGAGAAATACATTACATCACTTGCTCACCAGTAGATCCTCTGCAGTGAATGGGTGGCGTCAGAATGAGAGCATCACAGTAATCCACAAGTAAACCATACGACCCCAGTCTATCGATTAATGTCTTGTGAAGTTAAAAGTTTGAAGTTAAAAACGTCTTAAAGGATATGTTTATTACACACAGCTTTTTGCTTCACTGGAGGCGTGTGGATTATTGTCATGTTTTTATTTTATTGGACTCTCATTCTGATGGCACCCATTCACTGCAGAGGATCCATTGGTGAGAAAGTGATGTAATGCTAAATTTCTTCAAATCTGTTCCGATGAACCATTGATTTACACTGTCGTGGAAATAGAAATTGTTTTACCAAAGAGTTTGCAGTTTCAGTTGAGTGTGATGATATTAAAACTGAAATAATTCAAAGTTTTAGTGAGGCACTCAAAAAAATCTTGCAAGTTAGCAGGTTTAAATCATTCTTGCTCATATCTATCAGAATTGTCACTGAATTCACATCCACTTCACTTTCTGATCGTATGTTACGTGAGTGTACTTAAAGATACACATTCATGAATGAATGTGTACCTTTCATGTTTATTTTAACATATATTTTACAAATATATAGATGTATTACTCTTATCTGAATGACCAAAAAATGACGGAGTAGCCTATTTTAAGAGCAAGTGAGTGCACCGGCACCTCCATCTGTCCTGCAGTATGCGCGCGCTGCTGTTCAGATTCTACACTCCACACAGACACAATAGCGCACATTTCTCTAGGTTAACATTAGATTGAGCAGCCATGTAAAGTTGCTGCCTTGATTTCAAAATCCAGAATTTTTCCAAAAATCCCTGGCGCCTAAAAGGTTAAGTGATGTATCGGTACTTTTGCTCCGCTATTTTCCTCCGTTTGTGGTCGTTACATGCTTATTTTAATTTTATTTTTATCCATCAACGTGATTGGATAGAGAGTAATAGGTCTCGTGACTTTCCTCAAAACAAATTGTGCCTAGAAATCTTTAACCGCCACTCACTACTCAATACTCATGAGTACTTTTAAATAGGCTACTCTTTTACTCTTACTCAAGTAGTTTTTTGGACAAGTACTTTTACTCTACTCACACTACATTTTTTGGAAGGTAATGGTACTTTTACTTGAGTATATTTTTTCAGTACTCTTTCCACAACTGATTACCATAGACTAACGTTAGCCTTTAACGATCTGTCCGTCACGAACTGCGTGACTTCACCTGTGGATTTTTTTATTTTTTATTTTTTTCTATGCAACTAAGCGTCTAATAAAATTTTGATCGACTAGCGATTAGTCGACTATTAGGGGGCAGCCCTAATAAAAACCGTGCATTACGTCTAAATTAACTCATAAAAATCAAATATAATTTCGTAAATCGCATAAACAATTATGAACAAAATAGCATCATGTATTTATGCATTGCTTAATCCAAAGAGCCGAAGCGCCATTCACACAGACTGCATTTAAAAACATATGAGACGCAGTGAAAAGGAATATACCTCCACAAATTCGTGACGTGTTTTCTAAAAGTTTCAACTTTTTTAACTTTGCATGGCTCTCTATACATCTCTTGTGTGAGACACGAGTGCAGCAGTCGTACTTGTCCGTTTAAAAAATGCGCTAAATATGCGCTCTGTGTGAATGGCTTGGTTTCGGTTTTAACCTAATCAAGATCTTCTCCGCATTGAGCTTCTATATTTCTCTAATATTTTAAATTAATAACACAGCAGCGGCGCATCTCGTGGGCTAGACTAACAAAACATTAAAATGCAACAACGTCACTTACATCATTATCACCGCATAGTCGACCTGATGCACACCTAACATTCAAATGCAAATTTTTATTTTAAATTCAACTATTTTCGTGTTTGTGTGTGCTGTCTGCGTCACTCATAGCACTTGCCTATATCGTGCGCCATATCGAACATTTTTTCCATCGTTATTGAAGGTGGTGTACTGTCGATAAATATCGATACCGTTTTATCGCCCAGGCCTAAATATACATATATATATATATATATATATATATGTATGTGTGTGTGTGTATGTTGTTTTAGTATGTAGTGAGGATCACTTATGGGTCCCTGCTGTAAAAACAGATTTTTAAAGGAAAAAGGATTACGGGGAGAAAATTTAAGCCTATAGTAGTCAAGTTCATCTTTCCAAACTTGAACGGTCAGCAGAAAACCACATCATTTCTGTTGATGGCTCATTGCACATTTTTTATCTTTTGAAAAGAGCAACAAACAAAACCAACCAAGCAACTACACATAAGATTTACTGTTTATATAGTATGACTTAGTTTTGTCATTGAAGCTTTTTTCCAAAATAAAATTATTGCCCAAGTCTCTCTTTTTTCATCGGCATTAGCTTGCAGTCAGTCTACCTTAGCATGATGCTGCCTTTGTTGAGTTTTTGCTCTTTTACAAGGCCAGAAATATGTGACAGCATGGGCTTGGTGTGTTGATAGAAAAGAATGAGACAGGACTGAATATTTCCTGATTCGAGAACACTGGCTTTGTTTCATGTCGGTGCTTTACAGTCGTGCCGTGCACAGGTTTGCTGATTGCGCGCTCTTATCTTTTTATATAGCTGTCTCACTCAGTGTGGCTCAGTTTATCTTGTAGAGGGGGTCCAGCTTATTAATAAACTGTGCCCCAGGCAGCCTTTACATACGATGCATTCTACAGTCATTTTTTAGCAAACATCAATTAATGCAGAGTTTCTGCACCGGTTATTTTCAGCCAGAGCTTTTTCCTTTCATTATTTATGAGCACCGCTCACCAGAATATACAACTCGGCTGCACTCGACGCTGGCCTCCGAGGTTGACCTGGCTCAGAGGCATCTTGCATCATTTTGTCCAACCCTGCGTTGTGGATCGGAGACAGGCGAACTGAAAGAGTTCAGTTATAGTGAGAGCAAGGGGCGGGGATTGAAGACATGTAGACATATAACCATGACGAGAAACTATATAGATGAAAAGAGCATTTGTGAAGAAGCATGTTATTTATCAGGGCATCAGACTGCTAAATCGCAGTCACAAGCACAATGGGAAAAACATTGTTAGCTTGAACTAGTTGCTTTAGCAACGGACACCAAAACTTAATCTTTTGTGTTTCACACAAGTCATACAGATTTTGCATGATATGAGGGCGAGTAAACGATGACAGAATTTTCTTGTGTGATATTGTCAAAATTATACCTTTGTGTTTCCAGGGATTTTGTTGTTTTATATCCCTCATATTCTGTGCATGTTTAGTTCACAGCAGTGGCAGAAATTAACTTTTCCATTAAGGGGAAATGTTTGTCCCTTTAACTTGATTTCCGGGGACATTTTTACCTTTATAAGAGGATTTTTTTTGTAACAGTATTAGATTTATGCATCATCTTTTATGTCAAATTTGTACATTATCAATAAATTCAGCATCACAATGATCACATTTGCAGTCGTGCTGATATTCAGGAAAAACAGCACGCTTGCTAGTGTGATGTTGCTTAATTGTATCATATGATATAAATATAAAACAAAAACTCATAGAGGGGCATTTTTTGCCCCATGTCTTCAAATCAAACTGCATTCTAATCGAACTACATCATACATAAGCCTGATAGCCTGATTGACCTAATGTGTTGAGTTGGTGGCATGTGTTTTCTTCTGTATGGTCAGCCAGTTAGGCTGGTGTCATTTATAATTGCCACACTCTAGACTCCAGTGAGTGTATCATTCTCTCAGCACAGCTCTGCCCTCAGGCCACACACAAACATTTTTCATACTGACACTCACTTCACTCACATCAAAAACCTCCAATTAGATCCATTCTCTCTCAGCCTGACCCTGCATGCAAAAATAAGTGGGAATTCTGTCTGTGCCAAGTCTGCGCTATTAAGAGTATACTTAATTATGCACACACTCTCTCTGTGTCTCTCTCATCCTCCTGCTGTCTCGTTAAAGAAATTCTTTGACATTAAAAATTGTGACTTAGCAAAATCTCATTTATGTTTATCACAAATTAAAAATCACATTGTTGCCAGGCAATCCTCTTATAATAAGCAGTTTTGGGAGACAGGCGTGCTGAAGTTATCTTTTACCCTAGCAATTGCAGACAGAGCACAGGGAGCCGTTCCTCTCTCCTGCTCATCTCTTTCCCAGATTGCCTCCAATTTTGACCTAAATAAAATGTGTTGCTCTTTTGTTGATAGATGCTCACTGCGTATGCTTTTAAATTTCTTGCACCAGAGTAATGCTAAACGCTTTTGAATAGAAATCAAAGTCACTTCACATCGCTCATCATCTCCATCCTGGTTGGCTGAGTATGTCTTTTTTGTTTTCCTGCAGGCGTCCACGCCGTACAGCCTGGAATCAGATAACTTGGGAATGGACTGCATCATCTCTGGAAGTGCCTCTCCAACGCTGGCAATCAACACTGTGACTAACAAGGTAGCCTTCAATCTCAAACTCCACAAGTCCTGGCTGTGTTTCTCCTTTCACAGCTGACACCAGCGGTCTACATACCCAGTTTACATCTATATTTATCCTGCCATGACTATATACATGCACTTCATAACAGGACTGACATGTGATGCTTTTGTTTACACGGACGCTGAGAAAACTGACATAAATTCTCATCTATATTGGGCTGGCATTATGTATACAAATCCTCTTAATGGTGCATATGCGGTGTATTGTGAATTGCTAATCCCTTATTCTATATATCTGTTGAGTCCAAAATGTCAGGTGTGCGCCTACACAACGTATTAAGCAGTGCAAGAATACATTATTCTTCATCTTTGAGTATGGTTTACCTCTATGGTTCTCATTCAGTTAAAGCTGAAGTATGTGATTTTATGTTAAAATACTTTCTCGTATACCATTTTAATATGCAGAACCAGCTGTATTAATAAAACCAGTTGTCCCTCCTTTTCTTTAAAAAAGCAAAAATCTTGGTTACTTTCAATGAAAGTGAATGGGGCCAGTCTGTAAACATTAAAATACTCACACTCTTTCAACAGTATAGCCACAAGACATAAATATGTGTGTTAGCATGAATTTAACCACTTACTAACCTTTTTGTGTGTATAGTTATATCTAATTTTACAAATTTGTTGCCATAGCAACACAAACACTAAACTAAAACTAAAATGAATTTAAAAGTTGTCTACAGATTTACAGATTACACAAGAAGAATTAATGTACGTGCTTTTAAAAAATTTACAAGCTTCATTTCTGATTTGAAATCCTCAAAAAATTTGAACCTTTCACTTCTATTTTAAACGCCTCACTGTAACCTTTATTTTTGCTTTTTTTTAAGGGAAAACGAGGGTTGGATCAAAATTATTTTTGTGGTAATCAACATTAAGGTGAGGTCACATTTACCGTTGTCCAGTGGATTTTCACAGACATATCCAGTTATTTTAATAGGAATATATGCAATCAGAATTTTGGCATAAGGGCGAAAAGTTTTCTTATGCAGATTTCGCAGCAGGTTCAAGTTTGTCACCAACATTTTGCCATGTTGACCAATAGAAATCTGTTTGTTTTGAAAGTGACTTTGGTAGCTGTGCTTTATACAGACAGTGGACCCAAGCCAGCTTAATTTGTGCTGAACACAGAATATTCCTTTAAAGTGAAAGTTATGTTATACTTGTACTGCATCTATAAAAGCTTGTATAATGGTGCTGAATGGTTGAAGTACTTTTCTGCTAGAGAACGATGAGTTTGTTCAGTGTTTAGAAGTCTGATTCCCTGCTGTATGCTTCTAGGCAGAGCTCCCAGAGTGTCTCACACCGTAACTCGCCCTCCGTGGCATGACTTCATGGAGAAGTGTGTAAAAAGGAATGGAGCAAAACACTCTGAAATTTAAATAGGCTTTTTAACCTTAAGCGCTCCACTCTTGGCCTGGTGCGGGCTGCACGCTCTCTCTGGAGTGCTTTTACAAAGCCCAAAAGCATCAGTTATTAATTTACTTCAGGCATTAAACCAATAGTATTTCACATTAAGCATGGTGTTTAAGATGAGGACTGAGGGGAATGTGGAATTCATTTGAATTGAATTATAGTAAGTTTGGTGATCTGTTCATCTGGATAGAATGCAGTATGGTACTGTATATGGTATTTAGTTATAGTGTATATAGAATTGTAATATTTGCTACAACATTTCTCTGCAAAAGTGAGTTGTCCTAACTAAAATAGAACCTTACAAGTGACACATTTCCAAGTAAAAAAGTGATACTGTAATATGTATAAAGATAAATAGCATGCAAATATTGAGTAAATGTTGTTCATTTTCAATTGAGTTTAACCTGTTTTTTTTTTTTGCTAAGCTTTTCTTAGCAAATGTGATGTTGACCAAAACAAGGTATCTTTTGGATCTTCCAGAGCATATGATCCCTTAATTGCTTCTGATTTTGGGAGTTTACTTGGTTTTGGAACATATCCTATAGGGCTGGGCGATATGGCCAACATTTATATCACGATATTTTTCTTAATTTCGGTCGATACGATATAATTCCGATATCGATATGAACACTATTTAAAAAAGCCTTATAAAAACTGTCAAGAACGCCCACAACAGATGTCTTTACTTACAAACTTATGAAAAATTAATTTGCCAAGTCTATGACACCTCTTCCTATAAAACTATTTAATTTGTTAGAAGAAAAAAAACAGCACAAATAAATTAATGTTCACCTTTTATTTGTATTTAGCCTTCATACAAACAAGAAATGTGAAATCACTGTCAAATAAACATCTCAGACTCACCTTATTAATTATTAATATCTTTAACTTCAAACTATAGGCTAACATACCAGTCAAACGTTTTTGAACAGTAAGATTTTTAATGTTTTTAAAGAAGTGTCTTCTGCTCACAAAGCCTGCATTTATTTGATCCAAAATACAGCAAAAACAGTAACATTTTGTATATTTTTACTAATTAAAATAACTGTTTTCGCTTTGGAAATATTTTCAAATGTAATTTATTTCTGTGATTTCAAAGCTCAATTTTTAGCATCATTACTCCATTCACCTGATCCTTCAGAAATCATTCTAATATTCTGATTTGCTGCTCAAAAAACATTTGTTATTATGTTGAAAACAGCGAAGTAGAATTTTTTCAGGTTTCTTTGATAATTAGAAAGTTCAGAAGGACAGCATTTATCTGAAATAGAAATCTTTTGTAGCATTATAAATGTCTTTATCATCACTTTTGATCAATTTAAAGCATCCTTTCTAAATAAAAGTATTAATTTCTATAATGTCTTTCCAAAAAAAAGAAAGAAAGAAAGAAATCACTGACTCAAAGCTTTTGAATGGAATAGTGTATAATGTTACAAAAGCTTTTTATTTAAGATAAACGCTGATCTTTGTATCTTTCTATTCATCAAAGAATCCTGTCTCTTCTGCTCACCAAGCCTGCATTTATTTGATCCTAAATATTTTTTACTATTTAAAATAACTGTTTTCTATTAGGAAATATTTTAAAATGTAATTTATTCCTGTAATTTCAAAGCTCATTTTTTAGCATCATTACTCTAGTCACATGACCCTTCAGAAATCATTCTAATATTCTGATTTGCTGCTCAAAAAACATTTGTTATTATGTTGAAAACAGCGAAGTAGAATATTTAAAGGTTTCTTTGATAAATAGAAAGTTCAGAAGAACAGCATTTATCTGAAATAGAAATATTTTGTAACATTATAAATGTCTTTATCATCCCTTTTGATCAATTTAAAGCATCCTTGCTAAATAAAAGTATTAATTTATATAATTACCCAACCGGCCGTTTTCAGATAAATGCTGATATTTCTATTCATCAAAGAATCCTGAAAAAA